TTATTTTGTCATATCTTACACTGCACAACATCTCCCTTCGCCCACTTTTCTGTTGTCCATCCCCCAGGGAGGAGGTTATATGTAGATCCTGTAATCAGTTCCCCCTTTCTACACCACCTTCCCTCCATCCTCCTGGTATCGCTACTCTCACAATTGGTCCTAAAGGGATCATCTCTCCGGGATTCTCTGTGTTTCCAGTTCCTATCTGTACCAGTGTACATACTCTGGTCTAGCCAGATTTGTAAGGTAGAATTGATATCATGATAGTGGGGGGGGGTTGTGTGTGTGTGTGTGTGAAGCATTTAAGAACTAGAGGAAAGTTGTATGTTTCATCATTGCTACCTTGCACCCTGACTGGCTCATCTCCTCCCCGGGACCCTTCTGTAAGGGGATGTTCAGTTGCCTCCAGATGGGCTTTGGGTCTCCACTCCGCACTCCCCCTCATTTACAATGATATGATTTTTTGTTCTTTGATGCCTGATACCTAGTCTCTTCTATACTTCATTGTCACACAGGCTGGTGTGCTTCTTCCATGTGGGTTTTGTTGCTTCTGAACTAGATGACCTCTTGTTTACCTTCAAGCCTTTAAGACCCCAGATGCTATATCTTTTGATAGCCGGGCACCATCAGCTTTTATGCACATATTTGTCTTCAGGGATCGTGTTGGGAAGGTGTCAGCACATTTTTTTAATGCAATTTTTGTGGTAAAATTAGATGCCTCGGCTGATATTCGGGTCAGCTTATACTCGAGTATATATGGTACTTGTTGACTTACCCTTGTAAATATGTGTGTATATATATGTGTATACAAGGAAAAATTGAATAAATAGATAATGGGATTTTTCATGAACTTTCTGAAGGCTGTTGTGCATAGATACATATATGTGTATATGCATGCATTTGTGTACATATATATTCATATATATAATAAAACACTAAATGGACATAGTTTAGAATACTTCTTAGCTATAACTGAACATCTTGAAGAATTGCTTCTCTGGGTTTGAAGGCTTAGGATCATAGTCCTGTGGGATAACTTTGCAAACTGGATAATTTGTTCATGAAGTTTATACTCTACATCCTAATTTTGAGTGGTAGCTGATGTCTCAAAAACTTCCAAGTACCCATGAAAGATAATAACGATAAGTGGATGTCAATACCCTAGAACAAAAGAGAAAGAATGAAACCAAAAATCTCAAAGAAGAAACTAGCCTACAAGAGTAATAGTATAAACAAACTATGGTTTCATCGACTTTAAAACTAGAAAAACTTGATGTTGCCTGGCTATCTGATCAGGGTCACAAGAGATGAATCATGATATAATGGAAGGGCAATGTGGAACAGAACTTCAAATTCTTAAAAAATGCAAAATTACTGGACTGGTTGATATTAGAGGACACCCTCAGACTATGGCCCTGAGATACTCTTTAAACTTTTAACCAAATATAACCAGGGAAATCACATTTTGTTAAATAATAGGTTGTTTCACAAAATAAAAATGAATACTATGTCCCTTTTAAACAGTATGTGAGACCAAATGATCAGTAATTGTTTTCAAACAAAAATGAGAAATTAAGGAGACAGGGAATGTAGATAAACAGAGTGGACAACCAGAATGTAAAAAAATAAGAAGAAAGGTCATGCATCATTAAAAACGTAACCAATATCATTAAACAATTTGTGTATAAACTGTTGAACGGGAACCTAAACCATATTGTACACTGAAATAGTTAAAGTTTATTGTGCCCAACCTGGCCGATAAACACATGTGGAGTTAATTGAAGAGTGGAGAGATAAATGGCTCACTGAGCCTCGCCTTGCTAGTTCTTAGGTATCTTGCTTTCTGATGGTCAGACAAGGGTGTAGCTGCCTTAGCCAGTTCCCTGCTTCAGTTGTCAGGGCTCACTTCCTGCAAAACATCCCTGAGGAGAAGCCAGGGATGGACATACTCACTGATTCGGCTTTCCTCCTGCGTTGGCATCATTGCGTGTGTTTTGTGAGATTGAGGAGGACTTTGTAGATTGGTGTTGGACATATGGCCTAATGTTGGACTTATGGGCTTGGAAAGCACTGGGTTGGGATGCTTTCTTAATGTATACTTACCCTTTATATAAAACTCTCTCTTATACATATGAGTTTCTGTGGATTTGTCTCCCTAATGTACCTAGACTAACACACTGTCATTGAAAATATAACAAATTATCTTTTTTTTTAAGAAAGAAAAACATACAGTATACATACATTCCTGGGGTGAGGTCCAGGTTTTATGGCAGGGGTCAGACTCAATCCAGGGATACATATGGCAGCCAACTAAAAAGGAGGGGAAAAGAAAGAGGAAAACAAACAAAAAAAGACATGGGTAGGTGTGGGAACAGGGCACTAACACACCCAAGGGGAGGGTGTTGTTCATATCTTCACAGAAGAGGGAGAGTGGGCCCAGACCTCAACCTGGTGTGTCAAGATGTGAATGCAACATACTGGCATGAAGTAGGGAACCAATAGAAAGGTCAGCGGAGTAGGCCCCAATCCCAACTACATGGACAACCCTCCCCTCTCCCTAGTAGAATTCACTTCAGATAGGACAGCACTGAAGCTACAGTTCAGGAAGAGGGGTGTGTCTGATCAGAGCACACAGGAACAACTGAAGAGAGAAGGAGAAAGAGTGGAAAACATCCTGGTCCACCAAGCCCCGAGGATGATATTCCTGCTCAGAGCAGCCAATGCACAGAGAGGACCATAGGGCCGGCTCCACCACGAGATGTGATGTCCCTCACTGACCCATAGCACTACAAGGGACAACACTGGAGGCACAGTGTGGGAATTGTGCCCGATCTGACCACACTACACCAGGGAAAAATGTTAAGGGGGTGCAACAGAGCAGCAAGGGGAGCAAAGCAATGAAGTCCCCGGGGAATACCAAAAATAGACTTTGGGGGCAGGGCGTGGCACCCCATCAAACTTAACTGGAAAACACAACTAAAGGTCAACAAACAGACATGGAACTATTTATAGGCTTTTCTTTGTGTTGTTATTGTTTTGGGGTTGGATTTTTTTTGTTGCTTTGTTTTTGTGCTCATTATTGTCTCTGCATGTTTATCTAGATAAGATAGGAGGGATAAACAATCTGGAGGAGAAAACAATGGGGCTGATGGTTTTAGGGGGACACAGGAGAGAGGGAGGCAGGGGAAAGGAAGTGGGTGTTCACAAACCCAGGGACAAGGGAACAACAAGTGATTGAAAATCGATGGTGAGGAGGGCATAGGATGCCTGGCAGGGTTTGATCAAGGGCAATGTAACCGTGAGGAATTACTGAAACCCGAAAGAAGGCCAAACATGATAGTGGGACAAGAAGAAAGTAAAAGGAAATCAAGGAAAGAACTAGGAGTCAAAGGGCATTTATAGAGCTCTAAATATGGCATGTGCATAGGTAAATATATTTATATATAACGATAGGGAAATAGATCTATGTACATATATTTATATGTTAAGTATTAAGGTAGCAGATGGACATTGGACCTCTACTTAAGTACTCCCTCAATGCAAGAACACTTTGTTCTAATACCCTGGCATTCTGTGATGCTCACCTTCCCAACACGATCGCTGAAGACAAAATGGGTGCATAAGCAAATATGGTGAAGAAAACTGATGGTGCCCGGCCGGCTACCAAAAGATATAGCATCTGGGGTCTTAAAGGCTTGAAGTAAAAGAAGCTGCCATCTAGCTGAGAAGCAACAAAGTCCACATGGAAGAACACCAGCCTCTGTGATTGTGAGGTGGCAATGGGATCAGGTATCACGCAACAAAGACCCAGAACAAAAAGTCATATCAATGTGAATGAGGGAGAGTGAGGAGTGGAGAACCAAAGTCCATCAGTAGACAATTGAACATCCCCTTACAGAAGGGTCACAAGAAAGAGATGAGCCAATCAGGGTGCAGTATAGTACTGAGGAAACATACAACTTTCCTGTAGTTCTTTAATGCCTGCCCCCTACTATCATGACCTAATTCTACCTTACAAATCCGGCTAGATCAGAGCATGTACATGGGTACAGATAAGAGCTGACAACACAGGGAATCCAGCACAGATAAAACCCTGAGGACCAATAATGAGAGTAGCAAAACCAGGAGGGTAAGGGTAAGGTGGGGGGAGAAAGGGGAAAGGAGGGAGAAAATGAGGAGCTGATACCAAGGGCTCAAGTAGAAAGAAAATGTTTTGAAAATGATGATGGCAACAAATGTACAAATGTGCTTGACACAATGTAAGTATGTATGGATTTTGATAAGAGTTGTATGAACCCCCAATAAAATGATTGAAAAAAAAAGAAAAACATAAAGCATGCCTTAATTAATGAAACGGAAAATTAACAAAGGTGTGTTATAATACTCTTGAACTTTCCATTCCTGACTAATAACATCTATCTGGTAAGGCCAAGTATATTGTGTTTCCTTACTCTCATTCAACTGGAAAGTAATACCCAATTATTGTGCATTTATATTTCTTTATGAATATTTCTTACATCCTATGCTATGATAAAGTCATTTGTGAATGTCCCATAATATACTCAGCTAAGGTTTTTGGAATATAAGACATTCCAGTCTCTACCTTTGTGTATGTTCTCAGCACGTTGTCTTGAAGAAAGTATAAAAGATTATTATATTAAATTAAAAAATATAAAACTATTAACATTTGGAAATCTAAAAGTAAGTTCTCACTATCCACTAAAACAATTCATTAATCAATTTCTTTTCTGTCATTAATACAATAAGTTCAGACTTTCCTTGTTCAAAGTTAATTTACCAGAAGACTCTGACAAAGACAGTTCTGTAATCCATACTAAACAGTTCTGGGCATATGAATGTTGTTAGGATCTTCTTCAATATTTGTGACTTCAGAATTTTGTGGTAGACAACTATACTTTAAAGGACAGAGTTTTAGAGAAGGTATTTATTTAAAAGCATAAGCAAAGGGTAAGAAATTGGCTAGAAAGAATGGTACTTACATGCATACACAATTCACTTGGTAGAGGAGTTATCACATTCAGTTCCCTTTTGAACAGTGATATATTAGCAGGCTGATTCACAGCCACATTGGACAGAATCTTACAGCCTGTCTCCTGAAAAGTAGGGGACTGTGCAGGACTATCTTGAATTCCACAGTGACTTATAGGTATGATCTCTGCCACTGAACAGGAGAGTGCATCTTCAGTAGAGGAAGAAAATGGAGAGTCTGTACTTTGGGTATCCTTCTGACTTTCAGGATAGATGCTAGATAAATTATTTTCCTGATAGAGCAAGTTTCTTAATTTTTCATCAAGAGTTTTAATTCGGTTGTCTGAAAATTCCAATTTTGGAGGTCTTTCTCCATCTGATTCCATGACAGTCGTGAGTGGAAGGATAGTTCGTTCAAGGCCTGGGGTTTGAGTGGTAATGACTGTCTTAGGATAAGTTTCTTCAGTGTTAACTCTGATTTCTCCTTCTTGGGAAATAAATTCTGCATCCATAGTTGGCTGCTGCACCGGCGAAGATTGAAGCTTTTGATCAGACATAAATGCCAGAGTTGTAAGAGAGCTACCAGCAACCTGAGTTGATTCTTCAGGATGGCCCGTGAGTACATTAGCCTGATTGGCAGCTTGACAATATGGATACACAGGTAGGAATGAGCATTCTTGGTTTGTGAATCCCTCACATTCAAGTGCAACAGCACAAACTGAAGTAGTAGTATAAGTGGAACTACTAGATACTAGTGTAATTAACTGCCTGTCATCTTCCACTTGATAAAGGGTCATTGGCTGCTCAGTTTCTACACTTGCATATTCAGAAATCTCACCATCAATTAAGTACTTGGATTCTGATCTGAAGGTGAAAAGTGTATGTTGGCATGGATTATTTTCTATAGTGATTAGTGCATCCTGTGACATTTTCGTATTATTTGTATTTCTTGGACCTAAAAGAAAAACAAAGAATGGATACCTATGTATTAATAAGCTCAAAGTAGTACCATAAACTCAAAAATAATAGGAGACCTTTATAATTAGGGTCAAAATATGCAAAAACAATCTGTCAAAGAAAACAAACCTTTTAAATAAATACTAATGAAAAAATTGTTTAGGTTAACCCATAATATTAATGTCTTAAAAAATGCGTATGAAAATTCTCATAAGCATAAAGTACACAGGAAAGGAAGTTAAATCTATGGTATATACCCGCATTTTATATTTTGATTCCTCTGGATAATCCTGCCAGAGAATGAAAACTTACTAGAAAGTGGATTTGGTGCTGGAACTGTAGACAGAGAACAGTGAAGAGGAGGAGATTGAGCCTCACGATTTCTTATTGTTTGGTTAATACAGAAACGCCACCGGCCAACTGGGGATGACTGAGGAACAGACTCACCTAAGAATTAACAAAAAATTTAACACAATGTTAAATAACATTAAAAAAAATTTTTACTGACCAAGGAAACTAGTTTAAAATACCATTTTGTTTTATATATTCATTTCCAACATCTCTAGGATATGTGTAATTCATAAGATCAGATCTCACAATCTGACAGATAGTCTAGAAAACTATGTACAAGAGCTTTGAAGTAGGGGTTTGGATTATACAGAAACAAACATTGTAGAACAGCAGTTAGAAGCAAGTCCTTTTAAGAACAATTAGAAGAAGCAAACAAACCATTAGAAGCAAGGCCTTTTTTAAAACAACTAGAAGTATACAATTTGAAGAAGGACCTTTTTGAAAATAATGAAAAGCACTTTTCTATTAAAAAAATACACTTTATGTTTTGTATCCTGACTATAGTAGTGATTACAAAACTTTATACAAATATTAAAATCCCCAGAACTGTACATCAAATGAAAAAGTCAATTTTGCTATATGATAATAAAAATAAATAATTCCCACATTTTTACTTCTGTTTTATAAGCTTACTCAAGTACATAAGTACCTTTTGTATTTTGCCCTACTTTGTTGGCCAAAAGCTTGCCCAAACCAGAAAAATAATGTTCAGGGCTAACACAGCCAAAATATATTTCAGGGTAATGGTGTCTGGGTCTATTACTTTCATGCCATGTTTTGCTTCTTCATATTAATATAATTCCTTGAGAAAGTCTCATTTTTCTATGACTCTTCTAACCCTCCCAGATAATCTTAATATATCTATGATCAGACCTGAGAATGGAAAGATAAAATAATCAGGAAAGAAAACAAAACAGCCATTTTAGCCTCTGAACGTTTATTCAATAACTGATTTATGAAAATTTGTCATTAATGAGAGCAGGTTGAAGCATATCACTGGGGAAATGAAATTAAGATATGAATGACTATTCAAACATGAGGCAAAGTTAGAAAAAAATCATTTCAGATAGAAAGTCTCTGTCCCTCCCATATTACAAAAAAACCCCAAACAAATAAAAACGTACAAGTTTCAAAAAGTTAAGCAGTTAAAAGTCATCAATACTGTGACTTCTTTTCAAGTAACATACCATGGGACAACTGAGAAAGAAATTAATCAGATAAAGAACTAAAACTTGGAGGAAATTTGGGGAATGATCTCTTCTCTTTGAGTTATAAGATCCTTTCAAAATGTGTGAAAGCCTACATTGACAATTTGTCAAATTCTTTCATTGGCTAATATCTTTTCCAATGATGGTATATAAAGCTTATATTAAAGTTTCCAAATGTCTTGCTTCAAACGCCAAATGATAAATTTTATTAAATATACTTACTGCTGGTGTGATTGGATGCAGAATTTATCTGTAGTTGTTCAGATGATCCTGTCTGGATTAAAAATGAATAGATAAATGAGGAAGTTCCTAATACAGATACAAAAAGACCTATTTACTGAATATTTTCTCTTACTTGGTTACTGTTGGCTTCCACCGTAGTAGAGTCAACTCCAGTGGATCTTTCTGCATCAGAATGGACATGAAGCATCTCTTGAGCTTGACCTACTATAGCCCTCAATTCTTCTACAAATTTTTCTTTCTCGATTTCTAGTACAAAGTTATCTTCAACCTGCCAAAAAGAAGTAACTCTATTCACGAGACTGAAGGTTTTTTCTTCAATATTCTAGTATTGTACCAATGAAGAAAAATATTAAAATTGAATATTTAGCTTCAAGTGTCACAAAAGTGTTAACAAAGACCAGGAATAATGTTACATAGTATACTAAATTATTGTTTCTATTTTGACACCACAGAAACTTGATAGATTGACAGACGTATATATTTCAATATATCTGGAGAAAACAACATGGTCACGTAGCTGGAGCCAATCTTGATCTCTCTCTAAAGAAAAACTTGAAATCATGGAAATATTGAGGAAAGCAAGCAAACACTTGCCGATGGCTCCCATCCTGGCAGAACGCAAGAAGCACCAGCCACTCTACTCGGGAACATAGTGGTGAGATAATAGGCCCTCATTCTCTCCCACTACAGCTGATTAACATCACTCATCCAACATAATTGGGAAGAGTTTGCGTGGGAACTTGGCAAGGAGGATAAATGGGCTTCTGAGTGCAGGGGTTCGGAGGCTTCTGACTCGTTCATGGGATGCTATCTGAATTAGGGACATTTAGGTCTGCAGTGGACTGACTCAGTGCCTGACTGGACCTCTTGGGGATTGGATTGTGGCAGAGCTTCCCTGGAGCATCAGGATGACTGAATCAAGAGGGCATGTAGTAGGGAAGATGTTGGTTTAGTAGTGAGTGAGCCTTTTGCCGCAGGCTCAGTACTCAAAATGATAACACCTGTCTACTCACATACCCATGCACAAATAGTAATTGAACCCAACACCAACATACAGGCCAACAGCAGATTTTGGTGAACACTTATCTCTCCTATTGTATTGGTTTGAATAATAATTTCTATGTACCCCCTGACAACTTGAGAACAAGCCTCGAAATCAGGACTTTGATGGAAACTGTACTTAACTGCTGCTGAAAGTAGACTGGCATAGAATTACCTAGCCACCCTTGACTGCCTGGGTTCCACAACAGGTGTGTGGGAATAGTTTTGTATTCCGAGTCAAAAATTAAAAATAAATTAAAGAATAACACTATGTCTTGGAAGCAGCATTTGATCTCTGCATACTGATGGAAACAAAAGAAAACAACACAATTAATCACAACACACAGTTATGGACTTGGAGGAGCTCCTGAAAGAGGAGAGGACCATGGTTCCTCCTATGAGGGAGATTAGACTGATGGTTTCCAGTTAATTTAAGTGACTGGAGGAAAAATTAGATAGAAATAGAGGACAAACACAAGCCACAATTCAAGAACCCGGGAGTGCTTTGAATGATCATTCTGACCAAATGAAGGCAAAGTTAAAAAAAAATACAACAACTTCTAACAGGAATACAAAAGGCAAATACCAAATTATTAGAACTTGACAACATTGTGAAAGTATAAAAAAGCAGGATAGAAACAATAGAAACAAGATTCAGTGATGTTGAAGAAATCTCTCAAGAACAAAATACAGGAAGATCAAATTATAAAGTCAACCAAAAAACAGAAGAAATCCTATGAATATTATGGAACATCATCAAAAGGAACAAATGTGCCTGATAAATGTCCCAGAACAGAAAGAAGAAATAATAACTACTTAGAAAACAGTTGACGAAAAGGACAAATACATCATGAGTCCACTGTTGTAGGAACAAGCAGCAGAATGGGTACAAGCTCAGGCTTGCAGAGCACCCAGCTGGCTCCGTGGGTCATACAACCTGGTAGAGAGCCTGACTGGTGCCAATGAACCATACACCATCCGCTCTAGGTAAGCAATTTGAAGGTCATTTGGCTGGAGGGTGCATTCATGTCAGCTGGAATCAAATGGTCATGGGAGAGGAAGGGGATGTCATCTACAGAGTGGCTGCCATGTAAATCTATGATGAGGTCCTTCCAGACAGGTAAACAGCCCTAACATAGAGATGAGAGATACTGATGGGAAACACAACTCATGAGAAGAGAAAGGGAGTAAACATGTCTGGGGGAACACAAATGTTGGTAGGAACATAGTTGGTAGAAAAGAGGGAGGACAGACCTCCAGTGGGGGTGGGGGTGGTGAAATGACTGAAATTGCTTTGTGGAACACTGTGGGAGAAGTGTCTTTGGTAGTATGTACCAAATGGGTCACAAGGGTGGGAGGGGGAAGGGGAAGGAAAAAAGAGGAGCTCATACCAAGGGTTCATATAGAAAGTAAATGTTTAGAAAATAATGATGGTGACATATGTACAAACATGCTTGATACAATTGTATGTATGGGTTGTGTGGTAGTTATATAATCTGGTGTCACCTTGAGACTATTAAGAGTGAAGGTGTGTTTAGCCTGTCAATCAGTTTCCGTTTGATGACCTCATTTGGAGGCACTACAGAGATAAATAGCTCACGGGAGGCCAGACCCACTCTCTGCTTCATCTTCCTGTTGACAAGACACATGGAGCTACACTGATGGAGCCAGAGCCATGGAGCTGGAGGATCCAGGTGGAGACCCACGCTAGTGCTGAGATGCTTACACTGCCACTGAATCCACCAAAATTTTTACCCACTGGCCTGTGATCTTCCTGCATTCGACATCATTGCATGTGTTGTGTGAGATTGAAGAGGAATTTACAGATTGGTATCAGGCATATGGGCTAATATTGAACTTATGGACTTGATCTGGACTGGGCTGGGATTTTTCTTAATATATAATTACCCTTTATATAAAGCTCTTTATAAATATGTGGGTGTCTCTGTATTTGTTTTGCTTGTCAACATGGACTAACACAGATTGCTATAAGAGATGTAAGAGCCCCCAATAAAATTATCTAAAAAAAAAAAAAGAAAGAAAGAAAGGGGGGAAAAGACAGAAAAAAAGAAAATACTTGATGAACTATTAAGGAGGAATTTCCCTAATATCATGACAGAACATAAAATAACTATGCAAGAAGTCCAGAGAATTCCAAACAGAATTGATTCCCAAAGGAAATCACATTTAATAACTAAACTTTCTAATATTAAAGAAAAGGAAAGTAAGCCTGAGAATAGCACAGCAAAAAAGAACAAGTACTTTATAAGGGCCAACCAATTAGAATAAGTTCAGATTTTTCTACCAAAACCATCCAAGCAAGAATGCAATGGAATAATATATTCAAAATTCTGAAAGAAAAAAAAAACTGCCAAAGAAGAATCTTATATCCAGCAAAATTACCCCTGAAATGTGATAGTGAAATAACAACATTCACAGATAAGAAAAAAACTAATGTAATTTATAAAAACATGACTACTTCTACCAAAAATTTTTTTAAAGAATTATTTGAACAGGAAATCTCTAACAAACAGCAACCTAAAAATATCAGAAAAGAAATGACTAAGAAGAAAATACTCTATTTAAGTAAGAGAGTGAAACAGAAGTACATGCATTAAAACAAGGAAATATGGAAAACATTCACTATGAAGGTAAAAATAAATAAATAAATAAGCAAACAAACACAAACAAAAGCAGAGGGAACAGAGTAGACAATAAATAGCCTAGTGGTATCATGCAAGATTCCCAATAAATAGCTGAATAGAGGCACTATCAAACAGTTCACAAAATACAACAATCTATATTGAATTTAGAACAAAACCACAAAAAATTATAAATTTCTAATTAAGAAAATTAGAACCAAGAAGATGAAAACCATTTAAAACAAATAAGAAAAAAAAGGAAAAAAGAAAAAAGTATTGACAAGAACACAACACAAACAAAAAGAACAAAACACACAAAAAATCATGAAAACTGAAACCAGGAACACCGTAAAAATTATATATAAATATTAACCAAACCACATTTATCAATTGAACAATACTGAATGTAACTAGAGTGAATCCAGCAGTTAAAAGATAAACACTAACAGAATAGATTTTAAAAAATGAATCTTTAACATGCTGCTTACAAGAAGACATCATATATTTGGTGCCTTAATGGCCCCCTTGACTTAATATGACAGGTATTAATCTGTAAGACAAGGATCTGCCCTTGTTAAGAAATGTTACAGGGACTTTTCCCCTAGCACCAACCCCATGCTCAATGTAAACAGAACTCAATCAATTAAGAAATCAACCTGTACAAAGCAACAACTCATGGATTGCAGCTCACAGTTGAACTATACTCATATAAGCTCTTCATATCAACAGTACCTTAAATTCTGTGCCATTGGATAAATTATTGATGTTATCAATGCCATCAGTCTTAGACCATAGGGGGATGATTGATAATGCCTTTCTTATTTTTTTGTTTTGGTTGATTTTTCTTTTGTTTTTGTTAGTTTTGTTTTTGTTTCTGTCATAATATAACCACCAAAGCAAACCAGAGTTGTTCATAACCTGTGGACAAGCAGATGGATTCTGGGCTCCTACTTAATTCTAGCCCCAATCCAAGAACAGTTAGTTCTTATAACATGTCCCTGCTTGATACTCACCTTCATGAAGAGATCATCTGATGATAAGGGTGCTACAGTAGAGTGTGGTGAAGAAATCAGATGATGCCCAGCTATGAATTGGGATAGTGTCTCGGGTGTTAAAGGCTTGTATTCAAACAAGCAGCCATATAAGTGAGGCCTCAACTAAGTCCACATTGAAGAAGCACACCAGACTGAGTGATACAAAGATGATAACAAAATCCAAATATAATGAAGGGAAAGCAGAGCTTAAATTGTGAAACCCAATTTGTAGAAGGCTATGGAGGACAGTGGGAGTCCAAAATCCATCTGCTGAGTATCTATTCAGATTGAGCTTCTGGTAGATCCCCTCTAGCCACAGGCGCGGGACTTGAACAGCTTTACTATCAGACAGAAATTATTGCAAATTTGATTATGAGGAACAAACCATGGTATAATATGATCATTTGTCAATTGACTTCCGTCTTGACCCAACTTGAATTTGCTCTAGGTTCAAGTATTTCTTGCTTCTTCCACAGCAGAAATTTCTTCCCTGGCTTTTTAAATATTGATGGTGGTCTTTTTCTCATTACTCTTTACTTGTATATTTATCT